CATGGTCCACAGAACACTGTAGTAAGGGAGCAGAAAGGACATCAGAGCTGGCTGATGGGGAGGAGCGCTGTGAAACAGTGTCTCTGGACATGACATGGCCCTCGAGCCCATGAACTCCCTGGAGCTATGGTTCCCTGCAGAAGACCTGAAGAAGACTGGGCCTGCCAACATTTCAGCATGGATGGGGAAAGGGGCTCATGAGTTCCCAGCCACCCTGAGAGAGTGTGAGCTGTTAAGGGTCGCTAGCGGGAAGGGACTGTTTTCTTTGGTGGTGTAGTCTCTGACATGTTGACCATGCTCCAGCAAATAATTTCCCACCATGCTCATGCAAGTAACCAAAATTAAACTCAGTTGGTCAGCAAAATAAAGACATCAGAGTAGGAGCAGGACCTGTTTTAAAGGGCTTTGATAGAAGAGAGGAGAGGGTTTGAGGAAGTACTGGAAATGAAAATGACCAAAGTTCATTGTGTGTGTGTGTGTGTGTGTGTGTGTGTGTGTGTGTGTGTGTGTGTGTGTGTATGAGATTGTCAAAGTCTTTTATAAAGAGACCTGCTCCCTTAAGAGTCAAAACTGATAGTAGTAATATGTCTAATTTGTAACAAAATGCTGTTCTTCAATCTGATACAGGTATCTAGTACAACAAAACCCAAGAATTCCCTCAGGGTTCCTGAGGCTGAGTACAGTGTGGAACAGAGACTGCCCACCAGGTAACTGCAGTGGTGTGCACTTGTTTTGCTTAAGTTACTTAAACAGAGATAGCTACACTTAAATTAGCAAGGAAATAGGAACAGCACATCCTGTGAATAAACAACTGTTTTACATTGTGTAGACCCAAAGAATGGCTTTGAGAAAGGACACCCCCCCCCCTTTCAGGCTCTCTTCTCTTTAGTTCCAGGGTCTCACAGACTAGGAAGCCAGTGCCAGCATTGCAGCCACAGCAGCTCACTGAATATGCAAGACTGTGACCCACTGAAATATCTTCTGATTGGGCATGACCCAAATAACAGACCTTCAGTGAAGTCCCAGAACTAATCATTAAGTTGAAATCTACTCCTGAAGCGCCACGGTGCCAGCTATGCTTAAACTTGAGATTTAATTATCATTCTGGGTCCCTGGCACCAAATTCACAAAATTGTACATCTGGAAATAACATTTTATTCCTTGTTGCCATCTGTTCTATTCTAAGAACAAACATTACTAAAAAAATCCACAAATATTCTTCACATAAAACTATTGGCATACATTTAGATTCTTTAAGAACCAACTAGAAAACATTTTTCTTTTCCAAATGCTATTTCTTTCTATAGCTAGTAGAATTTTCAACCTGATTTGAATTAAGTAAAAGGTACCTAAGTCTGTTTCTGTATATTTTATGATGTGGTATCTTATGCAGTCTTAAACATCTCCATTTTAATGCTCTCATGTGGTTGAAGAAAATATTGTATGTGCCTTAGAAATGGCTATTTGCATTTTTAGAGAGAAATCTGTTCTAGTTCCATGTTCTCAGAAGTATGGTCACCTTCTCATTTTGAATTACTTAATGCCCAACATGATATTAACATGAAGTCATTCTAGTAGGAAGAATAACATGAGAAAATTGTAGTTTCTACAGTGATCTATGGACAATACTATCCCCCAGCTATAAAATTAATATACACTTCAGTAAAGATTTTATAGCAATATGGAGTAGTTCAATAAACAAGTTTAATTTAATTGGGGCCTGGAGAGATGGCTTAACAATTAAGAGCACTGGCTCCTCTTCTAGAAGACCCTGGTTCAATTCCCAGGACGAACATGGTGGTTCACAACAATATGTAACTCCATTTCCAGGGGATATAATGCCATCTTCTGGACTCTGAGGACATCAGACTTGAACATGGTATGCAGTCATATATGTGGGCAAAACACCCAGACATATAAAACAAAATCATAAATTTCTAAAAAGTAAAAATCTGCCTACAATTGCTCTTTGCAGAGATGATCACTCGGAATACTGAGGAAGTTCTTCCAGACATTGCCTATGGGCGAGAAGAAAGCTGTGTGTGCTGCCCTGGGACTTCTTGCTTTACTCAGCACTTTTCATTTTTGCATAGTATTTTATTGGCCGTGGACATGTCATGTTTAACTAGCTCCCTATTGATGAACACTTCAGTTGTTTGCGACCATTCAGTATTATAAGTCATGTAACTTGTTCTATATAGAATGTTGCAAGTTACCAATTTTTCCCATATGAAACATTATTTTTTTTAAAGACAGAGTTTCATTCTGTAGCCCCAACTAGCCTAGAACTTGCTCTGTAGACCAGGCTAGCCTCAAACTCACAGAGATCTGCCAGCCTCTGCCTCCCATGTGCCACTTTACTCAATGTAGTACTTTTGATAGTTGAAAACACCTTTATTTTGCCTTTACTCTTTACCACTGAAATTTGTTGGAAGTGTCTGTTTCACTGGCAGAGGTTGGGGGCTTCACAGGTACGGTAGGATAAGATAATCAATAGCACATGAGGACACGAAGTGCCTGTCACCCAGACCTGCTGGCGGCTAATGTTTGACCTGTCTCCTCTTTTACATTACATTACAGACCCCTTTTACTGTAATGCTTTAAAGAAAATTCCAGGAAGCACAGTTTCATTCATGAACACTTTAGAATACAACTCTAACTTAAGGTACAGGGGACTTTAAAGAGAGAATGTGTGTATTTTTACTATACATTTTGAAAGTCCCCCTGTTTGTCTCCAAATTAACCATATTATTGCAGTTATACTAGGAAAGGGACTCTGCTTTGTAATCACTGTTTCTTCATAACCTTGGGCAAATGGATTTAATGTTTGTTTAGGGAGTTCATGATGTGCTATATTGCCAATAAATTTCACTTTTTTTTATATGTAACTATCAGGAAGCCACCAGAGACATAGTCCAATCTCACCACAGAATTAGGGCCTTTATTGGAGTGGAGAATTCTGTGCCCAGCAGTGCATTATCCTGCTAGGTGCCAGGCAGTGGGCCATGCTCTGTGTCGACCTCTGAAATGATGGACTTGCCCTGAAGGCTGAGTCTAGTCTTTAGCAAACACGTATGGGCCTGTGGCTCAGGCTTAGGGTTATGTATGTGATGAAGCAAGTGTCCAGGATCACCTGCTTGTCCTCCACAAAAACTAACATTTAAAGGAATGGGAGCGAGATGCACAAACAGTGCTTCTCACCAAATGAGAATCTTTCCCACTTTCAAAATGTTTAGGCTTTAAATGGATTTGGTAACATATAATTGGCATATATTTTTAAAAGTCAAAACTCTTCATTGAATATCCTACTTCAATAATCCTTCATCATATAAAAAAAAAACAGCAGGGAATGACGTGTAAGTTGAACTATGATTGTTTAAATATGGTTTGCTGTTGCTAACAATTCATCAAAACCAGTGCAGGTAAACAAAGTAAGTGCTAACCTCCTTCACATGTGAGTGTAGCTCCCACTCCCAGAGTTATCCCTAGTAATGACTTTGCCCTATATCTTCACTGTGAGCACTTCAATTTTCCAGAACTACCTCGTTCCAAATGTATCGTCTTCATAGGAAGAACGTACATTTAAGTCACAGCCCGTTTTAAGTGCTCCTTTCTCACAAAACCCATACTGTAAACAGCCAGCAGTCCACAGTAAAGACCAGGACATTGTTTGGCTTGTGGAGAAATGTATAGTTTTTGAGAGTGATGTACTGAAATATGCATGTGTGGTCAGCACAGTCATCCACCCGTGGCCATTCTTGGACCAGCCTTCCCTGGTGCTTCCCGGGACTGCTCCATGATTATGCCTTAGGCTGTGAAGATGTCATACCACTCAACTCAGCAAACTAGTTAAAAGATGAGTCCACTGCTGAAGCAGTG